GATTGAATGAATAACATTGTATATCCAACCCAATGGCATAAAATTTGGCTATAAAAAAATAAGAATTATGTCATACTCACGAAGACAGCTATTATAAAAAACAAAACAAAAATATCTAGTGTTAGCCAAGATGTGGAGAAATCAGAACCTTGCAGATTACTGGTAGAAATGTAAAATGGTGCCTCCATATGGAAAACACTTTGATAGTTAATCAAAAAATTAACTATGGAATTAACATATGACCCAGTAATTCCACTTCTGACTACAAACCCCAAATAATTTAAAGCAGGAACTCAGATTGTATATTTATAGCAACACTATTTGTAATACCTTCAAGGTAAAAACAACCCAAGGGTCCACTGATGGATAAGCAGATAAGCAAAGCATGTTATATACCTAAAATGGAATGCTATTCAGCCTTAAAAAAAGAAGAAAATTCTGACATATGATACACTGATGAACCTTGAGGACGCTAACGTTAAGCGAAATAAGCCAGTTGCAAAAGGGCAAATACTGTGTGATTCCACTTACACCAAATACCTAGAGTGGTCAACTTCAAAGGGGAAGAAAGTAAAATGGTAGTTGCCAGGGATTAGGGAGAAGAAAAAATGGGCACTGATTTGTTGTTTAATGAGTACAGATTTTCAGTTTTGGAAGAAGAGAAAACTCCAGAGATACAATTGTAATTATGTTACATAACTGTATTACGTATATTTTACCACAAATTTTAAAAATTTTAAAAATGAGGAATATCTATAAATGTTACTATGAAATATCCAAGATGCATTAAGTGAAGGAAAAAAAAAAAGCAATGTAGGGAAAACAAACAGTACAACTGTATCAAAAAAGATAAAAGACTATATTTTGATATATATTATACATTTTATATGTGTTATATTTAAGGTTTTTAAAGGGAAGGATAAAAACTTTTTTTAAAATGGCTACCTTTAGGTGGAAGGAAAATATAAGACAGAGGTGAAAGAGGAATAGAAACTAAACTTCTCTGAATGTACCTTCAAGTATCATTATAAAATAAATTTAATTAAAAATTTTAAAGTCATTCCTCAAAATCAAAATAAAACATTAAGAACCTAACAGTGTATTGTGTTTAACCACATTAAGAAAAAATATTTCAGTGACTTAAAACACAATAATTTGATTGTACATCCTTGCTAACAGATGTCCCTAAAGGACAAAAAGAAGTGTAAAGAAATCTTAAAGTGCTTGCTGTAATCATATTGTTGGTAATAATATCGCTAATATCATTCTGAAACTACATATGTGTATAATAAATTTGAGGATAAGGAAATAGAGAAACATGAATTTAAAAATACTAAATAAAATCCCTGGCCAGGCACAGTGGTTCAGGTCTGTAATCCCAGAACTTTGGGAGGCCAAGGCAGGTGAACTGCTTGAGACCAAATGTTTGAGACTGGACTGGGCAACATGGTGAAACCCTGTCTCTACAAACAAACAAACATACAAACAAAAAAACACAAAAATTAGCCAGGCATGGTGGAATGCACCTGTAGTCCCAGATACTCAGGAGGCTGAGGTAGGAGGATTAATTGAGCCCAGGAGATTAAGACTATAGTGAGCCGTGATCGTGCTACTACACCCTAACCCAGGTAACAGAGGAAGACCTTGTCTCAAAAACAAAACAGCATCCTGCAATATTACTTGAATTGCAAATATCAGCATAAACTCATGATGGACTTTCTCTTAAAAAAAAAAAAGATTCCCTAGCTCTGTTCATGAAAAGGCCTAAAAATGATTTAGTATCAATATACTTAGCACGCAGATAGTAGTCCCTAAGTATCATTTCCAAATGAAGAAACCAGTGCTTCCTAGAGAAATTGATGATTCAGGGTCTGATGCAGAATTTTATGAAGTGAGCCTGAATCACACCAGAAAGAAAAGAAAGTATTAAACACCAGTAGGGTGGTATCAAAAACACTAAGGAGGGTCAGGCACAGTGGCTCATGCCTGTAATCACAGTGCGTTGGGAAGCAAAGGCAGGAGGATAGCTTGAAGCCAAGAGTTCAAGACCAGCTGGGGCAACATGGTGAGACCCTGTCTCTTCAAAAAAAAAGTTCTTTAAAATCAGCGAGGCATGATAGCTGTACCTGTAGTCCGTGCCTTGGAGACTGAGGTAGGGGGATTGTTTGAGCCTAGGAGTTTGAGGCTACAGTGAGTTATGATTGCTCCACTGCACTCCAGCCTGGGTGACAGAGCAAGACCTTGTCTCAAAAACAAAACACTTAGGAGGTACCATGCAGAGGCTCCCACTACCAAAGATGGAGCATTTTGAGTGTCAATAAGAATAATAACTGTGGCCGGGCGCGGTGGCTCAAGTCTGTAATTCCAGCACTTTGGGAGGCCGAGGCAGGTGGATCATGAGGTCAAGAGATTGAGACCATCCTGGTCAACATGGTGAAACTCCATCTCTACTAAAAATACAAAAAATTAGCTGGGCATGGTGGCGTGTGCCTGTAATCCCAGCTACTCAGGAGGCTGAGGCAGGAGAATTGCCTAACCCAGGAGGCAGAGGTTGCGGTGAGCCGAGATCGTGCCATTGCACTCCAGCCTGGGTAACAAGAGTGAAACTCCATCTCAAAAAAAAAAAAAAAGAATAATAACGGTGATAGACTTAAAACATCAAATATGTTTTAAAAAATCCTTGAGTTCACAATGAAACTTAAACCAAAAAAAACCCCTCATTGGTCACTTTTGATGGATACTTGGGAATCAACTCATTATTCTAAAAACTAATAAAGGGGGAACAAGCAAGCACTTATCCTGTCTTTCTTATATAAACTGTACAGGAAAGTAATCCAATAGTCGATAAGAACTTTCCAAATATTCCAGCTAAGAAATGAAGAAAGCTTCAACTACCTGCCACGGGGGGGGAAAAAAATGAAGAAAGGGTGACAATTAGAATATCACCATTTTGCAAACCCCTCACAAAATTATTGTCTAGGAAATCATCAATGGCTGCGAACATTTATAAAAAGAGTAACAACTTAGTATTATGTGCTCCTGGAAGGAGTATGTTAGCTAACTACGAAGTATTCCGTCCAAAACAATAATAAAAAACCAAACTGGTGTCTAATCAAGTCTCTACAGTGCCTGTTTACAAAAATAAATGAGACAGAGATATGGTAAACAACACTACAGGGATGCAGTCAGCAAAATAAAGACTGAGAAACCCTGTAAGACAAATATATTACAGGGAAAAAGGGGAACAAGAAAGGAAAACCTACAAATTGAAACAGATTTAAGAGACATATCAACTGGATGCACATATGAGTCCTGATTAGAAAAAGCCAATATGAAAAAAAGTTGTGAAATATGCAACAGTAATTTGAACATTAATTTGATACTTGACACTGATAAAGGAATAAAGGTATTGTGTTCATATATTTTGAAAGATACCTTACTTTTCAGAGATATATACCAAAATATTTATGGATGAAATTTTGATATTTGCGATTTGCTTGAAAGTGTCCCAGAAGAGCGTGCAGTCATAATGAAACAAGACTAGCTATGAGCTGGTAATGTTTAAGGCTGAACACTGGACACATGGCATTTCATTATATTACTCTATTTATATTTGCATATACTGAAAATTTCTGTAATAAGTTTTTTAGTAGAAAGCTAAAATTTGAGTTTGGATAACTGGGAGGCTGGTTCAAACATACTTTGTTCTTAATGAACCATAAAAGATACAGGATGTTCAGACTTTTAGGCTCTGTGTTCCTACTAGGATTTATTCCACTCCCAGCTTCCCACGCTCCCATTATAAGAAAACATTAAATCATAAAAAATCTTTAATGAGAATGACAAACAAAAATAGGAAATTGAGGCAAACACAAACCATCCCAGGAGTTTTTCCTCTGATTATCCTATAGAGAGACCTACTTTCCTATACATATGGCAGGGAGGGGAGTGGCAAGCAATCAACCTCCCAAAGAGATTAGATTGCTCCTTCCACATACCGACTGAAATTTAAAAACAGGGTGACTGGCAACAAAGAATAATGCTCTGTATTCACACAGCACTTTAACTTTTCAAAGTTCTTTAACATAAATGCCACTTATCTCACTTGATCTTAAAAATAATCCTGTAAAATGGCAGGAGAAAAATTTACTTCCTATTGGAAATCAACACAAAGAGGTCTCAAAACTAGTTAGTGACAGAATACAAGTCTCCTATCCCTATTCTAGTGCTTCTTAAACTAATCTGTTCCCATCCTAGCCAATATGTTTAATTATTCAGCATGGGGAAAAATCTGCCCAAAACTTTTATTACCACTAGAGGCATAAATACCTGATAATAGGTGGTTCAGTAAAGACTGCTACTGACATTTGTTGATTATTGCTCTATGCTGAACAGTTCCCAAAAATTTACTTAGCAATTTGGACAGCTCAAAACGGTTTGTAAGGCTCAGAAATGAGCCTATCAAATGCTACTCATTTACGGGTAAGAGAGAGAATATCAAGTTAACAACTTAGAAAAATTTAGCGTGTGTGTTTGTATACTGATGTGCATGTTTTAGAAGACAGAGATAAAGAAATAAACATATTAGCAAGGATCTTCTTTTCTAACTTAATGGATTGACAATTATCCATTTAAACTTATCCAGTCTCAAAAAAAGTACAGAGTAGGAACCCTGTAGACACAATATAAGAACATCCAACTTGTTGACTGTGAATAATTAAATTTAAAATAACCCAGATTCTGCCCTTTCTCCTATTCATGGTTACTCTAGCTTACTGCCAATATGCCATCATGTTCCAGGCACTCATTTTCACTCAAAAAACCGTAAAGGAATGGACTTTGACCAGGCGCAGTTGCTCACACCTATAAGCCCAGCACCTTGGGAGGCCCAAGTGGGTGGATCACTTTAGCCCAGGAGTTTGAGACCAGCCTGGGCAACTTGGCAAAACCTTGTCTCTACAAAAAATACAAAAAACTTAGCCAGGGGTGGTGGCACATACCTGTAGTCCCAGCTACTTGGGAGGCTGAGGCAGGAGGATCACTTGATCCTGGGAGGTTGAGGATGTGGTGAGCTGTGATTGCACCATAGCACTCCAGTGTGGGCCACAGAGACCATGTCTCAAAAAAAGCACAAAGAAACAAAAAAGGAATGGATTCTAGGCAGGCTTAAAGCCTGGGGCCTGCTGAATGATGTTACACCTAGGAAACTGTCTTTGAATTCATCCAGTCTCACAGCAAACACCCAAGAATGTGCTGGGTTTGCTCCAATTACTTGTGCCTGCTAAGCTGGTTCTTGGATCAGCAGAGGGATGGAGGTGGAGGGTGTCACCAGCAGCACTGAGCAGGCTATATTGTCTGCTGAGTTACCATGTCATTTGCTACTAAAGAAACATTACACTCTCAAACTGTGTTTGATTATTCCTTCTGTCAGTGGCATCACTGTCCTGACAGGACAACCATGCAATATGCAACTATTCCCAACATTACTTCAAGTCATTACACCCTTCTCTTAGAAACTATTACTCACTTAGGTGCTCTCCCTAGAATGTCTGAAATTCAAACAGAGGCAACTCGATTGTCACTAAAATATCTAGACTTGGGTATACTGGAGAAGGCAGAGAGAGCCTATCATGCTATCATCACTATGAATGAATGTCCCATGAACCTACAAGGAAGGATGCAAATTCACTGGAGCAAATACACGGTACTTCTCCTACTTTCCTTTAGATGATTTAGAAATGGAATCTGGAATAGAATTAACATTTGCGAATTACCTACTGTGTACAATCATTGTGCTAGCTACTTTATAAATCTTTTATTTAATCCTAACAGCCCTTCAGGTATATCATTATACTGCCTTTTCACAAATGAAAAAAACAAAGATCAAGAGTGTTAAGTAACCTGTCCAAAGTCTTAAACCTTATTACATGGCAGAGCCAAAATCTGAACCCAAGTCAGGACAAATATCTTTATGACCTGCTTTTTATTAACCTATTTGCTTTCCAAAGGAGTTATGATTTAAAATGATACCAGAAATAACAATGTTTCTAATTCAATTTCCTGTGAGAAATCGATAGCTTTAATCCATAGCAAAGACTACCATGCTTGGAACAAACTTACTGTATTAAACCAATACCCATTTTTATATATCCTAATCCAAGAGTCTATACCAAATCTCTTCTCTTCAACCACTTAGACCTCATGTATTCCGAGGAAAAGCAAAAATGTTTTGTTCAACCTCTACAGCATTTTCAAATACATGGAATATATAAGATGCCCTCCTTACTTCAAAATCTATGAATAATAATCTTATAAATTTTCTCAGACTTAGGATAGTCTCCCTCAAAATGACGAACATTTTGGCTTTACTATAAAGTGAAGAATTCCAAAACATGTAGACTTCCATTTGCTGAAAGCACTATAGAAATAAAGACTAATGTATCAAACATTCCCTCTAAATTATATTATGTAGCGACGTTAATGAGAATATGAATAAATGATAAAAGCTATCACTTACAGTGTACTTACTATGTGCCAAGCACTATACATGTATTTTCACTTTGTGCCTTACAGAAGCCTCTAAGTTACAAGCAAAGAAACTATGCTTGTAAGAGAAAATTGATATAACTTGGCCAAAGTATACAGCTAGAAAGTGGTAAAGGTAGAATTCAAACCCAGGTTGGTCTAACTCAAAGCCTATGCTATTATTACCACTGGTTACTGCCTCCTAGTTCTGTTTTTTTTTTTTTTTTTGCTGCCTCCTAGTTCTTATCTGGTATATATACTCCTGTCCTCAATTCCAAAACCATTATAGGCATACATACACTTAATTAAACCTATTATTAACTATATCAATTAAAGTGTTCAGAGTTTCTAAATTTGAAATGGTTTCTAAACTAAAATCATTTTAAAATGCTGAAGAATTACCATTAAAAAATTCAAATAAGGCAGCAAACTTTCATAAAATTCTGTGAGATCAAGAACAGATAACTCATACGGACAAACACTTTTTCATTGCTTGGGAGTTATTCTTAAAATTTAAACTTCTTAATGGCTATTAATGTCTCATTTTCTGTTGTTTCAAATTTCTTTATAAAAGTATAATGTCTAAAATATAAAAGTAACATTCACCAAACATGAATTCTTCAATCTATTAAAGTCTGAAGCAAAACGTATAAAATTTTAAATGTTTAAGATATAATTTAAAATAGCATATTATTTTCTCCTGTTTGTCAAACATACTCATTAGACTGGTTGATGGGCCAACCTAAGAGTCACTTACTAAGATACGTCAAATAATAGATCAAGTCTTACCTCCATTGCTAAAGCTGCTGTCTGTTGGTCATAATGATTCAGAAGATTAGGCATGAAGGTAGTATTATAAGGCAAATCTTGGCACATCCTCAAGGTAATAGGTTCACAAGAAAATAAACTGTGCCCACCTATATGCCCCATGAGCATAGTCAAGGGCCAAAAACAGAAGACGATCCAACTCACAGCCATCCTTCCCGGATCTGAACAAGATTCGGATGATCAGGCCTACTCAATATGTATTTTAGATATTTATACACCTGCAGATCTCAGCTTGAAGGTACTTCTTCTATATCTTACTGTTAAGTTCTTCAAACAGTTAAATACTCTTCGCACCGTCAGAGGTTTGTTAGCTTGGTCTCACAAAAGGCGTTTGTTTTTGGTTTCACAACATGGGAAAATGACATCATCTTGTCTCTTCTTTTCATTTTATTACATGGGGCACATTTGGCCAACAAATCAAGTTGATCAACCACATTCCCAAACCACAGATTCCATCTTAGGAGAAGAGCTATTTCTTCCTTCGACTGAAATATCTGAAAAGTATTATTTTAAAAATGAGAGACGTTAGTCATTTCCTCTCAAAGTATTATGGACTTGACATTAAAAATCTTTGATGAGAGATATTATACTGACCTAACAGTTAACAATATATGGGTACTTTATAGACCTAATTTTTCTACTTTATCATTTATGCTATAGCTGAAATGATCCTTAAATAGTATTTAAATGCAAATTTAATTTTCTTCCCTTAGTTGCTTCTATAATACATGGTTTAACTTTTCATCTATGATGGCAATCTTTCTTTTTTTTGAGATGGAGTTTCACGCTTGTTACCCAGGGTGGAGTGCAATGGCGCGATCTCGGCTCACCACAACCTCCGCCTCCTGGGTTCAGGCAAGTCTGCCTCAGCCTCCTGAGTAGCTGGGATTACAGGCACACGCCACCATGCCCAGCTAATTTTTTGTATTTTTAGTAGAGACGGGGTTCCACCATGTTGACCAGGATGGTCTCGATCTCTTGACCTCGTGATCCACCCGCCTTGGCCTCCCAAAGTGCTGGGATTACAGGCTTGAGCCACCGCACCCAGCCGATGACAATCTTTCAACGGCCACAATATATAATTGACCCATTTTGAAAAATTCTTATGCTATTGTCCTAAATTTTATTTAAATGATATATATTATGCTTACAACCTACATTATCAAACTTAAAATTGTATGTTTTAATCTTTAATAGTATATTTTTACATTAACTGATGTGGCAGAAGACATCCGTGAAAGTGGTCTGAAAATTAAGTCAAAAAATACAGATTCAAGCCTCTTTCTAGCTGTGTAAACATACCACTTAAGTTCTATGCACCCAGAATTTTTCTTCTTGAAAATGATTCCAATACCACCTTGCTCACAGGGATGATATGAGTGAATCATAAGATAAGGTATGCAAAAATACTTTATAAATGGTAACTCAGTATTAAACATTAGACATTTTAATCACTGAACTAGTTTATACAAATGCTACCTCTATCAACCAATACTGAACTGACATATAGAAGGTTCTAAAATATTAGGAAGTTTTCACAATATTACATTTTTTTTAAGATAATACAAAAATTTAGTTGCATAGATGGAGCACTAGACTTAGGAATATTTCATCAACAAATGGTCATTACACACAGCCATGCTGCACAGAGAAGAGAAATCATCCCTAAAAAGTCACAGCAGAAATAGGAAAAATGCCCAGTTATTAGTTCCATGGAGCTTTAGAATTTCTAACTTGTATGTACTTGCCAGGGGCAAAAATACATTTGATTCTCAATCAGAGCTGAGAGGGTATGGATGGAATGGAGGGCAGGTCTGGTATGAAAAAAACACATTCTAACCTATCACATTTTGATTTGGTTTAGTAATGATATTAACTTTGCTTTTATTTCATTTTGTTTCATATGCACTGAATATGTTTGTTGTGGTGAGCCTAGGTTGGGAAAAGATGAAAAACTCAGGTTCAGAAATTCTCAAAGATCCCGATGAATAGGACAACTCAAATACTAGCACCCATGATAACTTAGACATGAAACCTGGAACTGCTTTGACTTAAGCAGGGAAAGAAACTGTCCTTTGCACATTATCAATGATTGGGACCTCTATGTCCCAAGCTTCAGTTACCAGGCAGAAAACTATTGGGAGAAAGTAAAACAGTGGCAGAATCTTCCCCATTTCTCCCTTTAGTAGACGGTCTTGACTAACAGAAGAGAAAAAGAAAAGTCTGCGGTCCCTAGAATTAGGAAATGAGGTTAAAAGCAAACCCTGCTCAAAACGCCTTCAAACTCCCCATACGTTCTGTACCAGAAATTTCTGAAACAGCTTCTTGGCCTGCCATATTTTTTTTCTCCCCACAAATGTTGAGGTCGTCTATAGAAAACTGTTATTAACCACAGTTAAAAACATACTTATCTTAATTACCATACAGCACAGTAACAATTATGCATATCATTAAATATGTCAAATAACTGTTGAAAGTTTTATTTGACTGTAGTTTTAAAATATCCATGTAAGTTTGGTCTTTGTAGTTTATTGCTCATGTAGCATGTTCATTTACTTGCAACTAAAAAAATTAAAGGGAACATTACTCCCTGTTGAATACGGATACAGTAACACCAAGAATTTCAAAAATTTCATTTAGACTAATCTATTTTTCAAACAGGTATGGGTTTCAAATCAATGGTTCAAAGAAGACTACCACATAAAACCTGAGGAAGAAACTGACCAATATCTCATTGAGCTTTCAAAACTAGCTGAAATGTCCCCTTACACTTCTGCCTATTCCATCTATTTTACCTGGTTTCCTCTTTTTTATTCCTTTTGCCTTACTTGCAAGTAAAGCATCCTACCTTGTTATTAAAAGTGCTTCCTTATGTACCATGACATTCAAATTACCATGTACCAAGATGCTTTTGTCAAATCTACTGTTAAGCTGTGAAAGGACAATAATCTTGATATAGCAAGACTGTAGTTTATGATTATTCAAAGAAGGGAAAAAACAACAGTGGAATGCAATGAGACAAAAAGAAAGCAGGCAAACTATAGGTGTTATTTAAAGAATTTTCATTTCCCCCAAAACAGCAGTTCTCTAATCTTAAAGTGTAGCAGATTCATGGATTACCCCACAGGTCTAAGATCTGAATCTTGGGAGAATGAAACACATTCTAATGATTACCTCAGGTTACAAGTGCTCCATGAGTCAGGTCTTGAGAAATGCTATCCTAGAACAAAATAATTAAAAAGAATAAAGGTATAGTTTATGTAATTATAAATATAAAATAAATCTTATAAATAAAAGCAGATAGGGATAACATTTTAATAGAAAAATAAGCAAAGGACATAAATGTATAAAAGAAATACAAATAGCCAAGAAACATATGAAAAGATATTCAA